TGCACAAAATGGGAGAGTGATATCAGTTGTGCAGTTCCAAGTTTCAAGAACAAACCCAAAGCGTAAGAGAGTGTTTATGTCTCCTACGTACATGCATTCATCAGATCTCTCAGATTTTTGTTACATAGTTTCTCGTTCTGTGAAGCAGGTTTAAGTTGAATATATATTTGTGTTATTCGTAATAATATATATTGAATCTTAGAGAATTAATTATTAGTTATGAAATTAGAGAAAAAAATTCCTTTTTATGTTGGATTGATTTGTGAAAAAGATATTATATATAAATATAATTAACGCCAAATCCAAACGAACTGATCTGAATGCATTTCACACATCTTTCGTTGGATTACAAAAAAGTGACATTTTTAATTTCGCCACACAGAGATACAATGTGGGGGGGTTGGGTGTGAACTACACGCGCCATGGCTGGGAGTGGGCATTGTGGAGAAGTCGCGATTGCCTTAACGCAAAGGTGGTCCAAATCCAATATCGAAAGCCCTATCCGCAGTTCATGTGAATTACCGGAACTACCCCTATTCAGGCAGATGACGTGAACGTGATCACTTCGACTCCGGTTGTGTTTTCCGAAGGGAAAGACTAAATTACCCTTGCATCGCCTGAGTTGATTTTCTTCGCCCGCGGACCTTTTTTTATATATAAAAAATTATTTTCCTTATGGAAATGGGCAGAAATAATTGAAATCTTTGGACATTAATATCGCAGGGGGCTAATTTAACTTATTTTGATTTGGATGCAATGAAAGCATGAGATGTCGGGAATTCATTTTCATTTTCATTTATTAGTTTATACCATACGTATCACAAATAAATACGGGGAAAAAAGAATATGGTCCCGAAATAGAGAAATAAATGCAATTTTTCCGAGGACAAATAGAAGGGAAAATGGAGGACCACGCATTTCGTATCACCTCTCATAGCCTGGGAGCAATTATTTAGAACATTTTCCCACTGCATATATTCCCCCATACAAATTAATTTATACAATCATGTTCCATGGGATTCGATATCTTAATGTATGTATGTATGTATGTATGATAATTTATCGTAAACTATAAAACTATCTATTGTAAATTATAATGGCTTCCGATATATAACTGTTGAGAAATATAATTTTTTTTTCTAACTCAGTTAACCAAAGTTAAAGTTTCTGCATCTATCGGAGATGTTTATCTTAGAGGTGGATATTTCAAGATTTCGGTTAGAATATTTTCGGTTTTGAATTTTTTATTTTATAAAATCTGTACGTATTGGCAGAGTTTCCATTATGTTCAATTCTACATAAATTGGGATATGATTTGATTTGTATTTTAAAAATATTTATTTTCTTTGTTGGAATTCATTTCGTATCTGGTTAATGTGTTTGAAAAAAAAATCGTATCCAATTGTTTTTTTACCTGGAATTCGAAAATTCGGTTTTATCTATCCTTATTAAACCAAATCAAAATCCAACGAATATATTGGAGTGAAAACGTAAATATAGTTACATGGTTTGAAAGTGGTCGTGCTTTACGCTAAAATCATAAATTAACATCTCTGTAACTAATTAAGATGTTAATTAGTTCGATTACTAATTATATTATTAATGGTAAAAAAAAAATCTATAAATGTAAATTCTTCTCATTATATTATTGGTCATGTATATTCGAATCTCTATTATAGTTTTCTCAAAGAGAAGTTCTATCCATCAATCGAAAGAAGGAAATAATAACGACGAAAACTAAGCTCCTTTTGTCTCTTTTATCTGCCTTTTGTATAACAATCTTTACATGCTGGCTTGATGTTAACTAATCAAGATTATCCTTTTAATAAAAGGTCGTAAAACACCATCAAGTAATATATATATATATAAAGCTCAATTTACTCTTTATGGGCAGATATGGTGGCAAAGTGACGTGAAATTACAAGGTGTTCTCCCACATTCAAGTTCGAATCCCACTTGGACAAATCACCAATTTACCGTTCAATAAAATTTTATTGTCACAAAAAATAATGTTGACAACACTTTGTGAGGAATAAATATAACATAGATTAGATAATGTAATAATATCTTTTAAAACCATCAAATAAAAAAATGTAAGTTGTAAGATTAAATTTAATGGTCTTCCTACATATGATATTTGTTAAGTTGTTATCGATATCGTTCTTTTTAATAATTTGAAATTTTACCGAATCTTCGACCCAACTGGAGACACTACAAAAAAAATGGTCATTTCCAACGGGTAAATCCGTTGAAAATGGCCAAATTTCCGTTGGAAATTAACGTTTCCAACGGATTTCCAACGGATTTATCCGTTGGAATTTCGTCGTTAGAAATCGGTGTCCGTTGGAAAACCGTTGGAATTTTCAACGGAATTGCAACGAATTTTTCCGTTGGAAATTTCCAACGGATTTCCAACCGGCATCCGTTGGAATTTTCCGTCGGAATTTTCAACCGCATTCCGTTGGAATTTTCCAACGAAAAATTCGAAACATATTCCCGACCCGACCCGACCCCGACCCCGATCCCGATCCCGACCCCGACCCCGACCTGACACCGACCTGACACCGACATCGACACCAACCCGATCCAACCAAACCACGATCCCGAAACTCACTTCCCAATAGGTCACCCATCCTTCCACTGCTCCAGCTCAATCCTCCTTAACCC